AGTAGTAGTAGTAGTAGTAGTAGTAGTAGTAGTAGTAGTAGTAGTAGTAGTAGTAGTAGTAGCGATAATAATAATAATAATGCTAATAATACGAAGAGCAAATGCTAAAAATAATCGGAGGTTGGGGGGTTACTCCGACATGAAACGGACCCCCCCCTACCGGGAAATCGATTTCGGTTTCGGGTTCGTGTCGTGCGTGCCGGGCGTGCGTGCGGGCGCGACGAAGCTGCGTGGGCGGGCGAGAGGAAATCCTCCTGTGGCTGGGCCGCGGCCAGACCAAATGATTCTCTTCCAGCGGCCGGTGGCGCGCGGTGTCCCGCCAGAGTCCCGCTGGTGTCCCGAAATCCTCCTGTGGCTGGGCCGCGGCCGGACCAAGTGATTCTCCTCTGGCGGCTGGTGGCGCGCGGTGTCCCGCCGGTGTCCCGCTGGTGTCCCGAAATCCTCCTGTGGCTGGGCCGCGGCCGGACCAAGTGATTCTCCTCTGGCGGCCGGTGGCGCGCGGTGTCCTGCCGGTGTCCCGCTGGTGTCCCGAGATCCTCCTGTGGCTGGGCCGCGGCCGGACCAAATGATGCTCCTCCCGTCAAACGGTGGCCCGCGGTGTTCCGCTGGTGTCCCGCCGGTGTCCCGCCGTGGGTTGCGCATTTCAAAACATCGTCGCTTGCGGCGAACTATCCAATGCAAGTCCGCATGCAAACCGACATGCAGACCGAAAAGCACGTCGAAATGCAAATCGATTTGCACATCCAAATGTAAATCGTGAGGCGCCGTGGGCGCCACGGCGAGCTTTCCAATGCACGTCGACATGCAAATCGAACAGCAAATCGAAATGCATTTCGATATGCAGATCCAAGTGCAAATCGAAAGGCACATCGTCATGCCGTGCTGTATGCTATGCCGCCGCCCCACAGGCATCGTCAGAACAACAATCACCACTTTTGCCTATTGCTGCACCCCCCAAGCTCCTTCTCACCCGCAGGTTGGTCGTATAGGTAATAATGAGACTACTAATAATTACAATAAGAACCATAAGAAGAAGGGGGCAGGAGGAGGAGGAGGAATGGGAGGGTAAGGAGGAGGAAGGATGGGGACGGAAATGAGCAGGAAGAACACTTGGGCGAGCTCAGTGAAGCGGGACTCGCTGCTCTCCCTGCCCCTTCCTACGCTGCACGGCGTGTCACATGAAAAAACGGCCTCAGCTCCCTGGGACGAAGGGGAAGTGCGGCGATTGCCACACCACGGACTGGGTCAGGATACCGCTGACCGCCAGCATGGCCAGCCTCCCGTTCTTCAGCTCCTTGATCCTCATCTGCACCTCGCCCTCCTTGGTCTGCGGGAGGAAGCCCTTGCCGAAATTCAGATCGCCCGCGTTCTCCAGGGAGAGCTTCTCGAAGCCGAGACCCAGGTCCCGGAAGCGGAGGGACTCGACGACGCCGCAGAACGCGAGCAGCCACCACATGGGGCCCTCACCGAGGCCGGGGCCGATCAGCTTCCCGTGGGCGTTGTACAGGTTCAGCTCTGGGTCCTCCAGCTGCGGAATGGGGATGCGAAACCCGTCGGGCGCGATGAAGCCCACGAAGGCCAGCATGGCGACGCGGCAGTGCTTGAGCTCGGCCTCGCGGTACCAGGCCAGGTGCTCTGGGTACGTCGTGGACAGCTCCTGGGAAAACCACACTTGGGCGCCCGAGTTATCCGGGGTAACTCGGGTCCGGGGTAACTCGGGCTTGGATTCCCGAAAAAGGAACCCGAGTTATCCCTGACCCGAGTTACCCCTGATGATTCGGGGCTCTGGACGCCCGAGTTATCCGGGGTAACTCGGGTCCGGGGTAACTCGGGTTCGGATTCCCGAAAAACGAACCCGAGTTATCCCTGACCCGAGTTACCCTGATGATTCGGGGCTCTGGACGCCCGAGTTATCCGGGGTAACTCGGGTCCGGGGTAACTCGGGTTCGGATTCCCGAAAAACGAACCCGAGTTAGCCCTGACCCGAGTTACCCCTGATGATTCGGGGCTCTGACACACGGTGCCGACACCGCTGCTCCCCGGACCTCTCCCGGGGCGCGTTCTGACCAGACTTTCGAGGCTTACCCGGCGGTGGCGACGACGGCCCCCGAGGAGGCCCCCCAAGGGGGAGAGCGAGGGAAAGGTAGCGGCAGGGGTACAGTGAAAACGTACAGGCATGGACGCGTGGCAAGGACGCAAGACCCTCGGAGGCTGAAGTTGGGCTTTTTTGGGGGGGCGGCGGCGACCAGTGAGGACGGCAAAGGACGGGCCGCAGAGGCGAGGACGCAGGGCGTTACCCTGGAGGAAGGCGCGCGTCCTTCCTGGGCGCGCTGACTGTACCTCCGCTTCTGAAGGGGCCCCAGGACACACAAATAAATACACACAAATAAAAAGATTGCCCATATTTTCCCATATTTTCTGGATTTCTGTCTTCCCCCCCACTTCCCATATTTTCCCATATTTTCCTGGGAATCGAAGATTAATTGTGTCTGTGTGTTTTTTCCTCTCCTGAGCTTCCTCCTCCGAGCTCCAGGGGGTCCCACTGCTCCCCGCACCTCTCCCGGGTATACCCGGCGCCATCGCCGGGTATACCCGGCGATGGCGACGACGGCCCCCAAGGAGGCCCCAAACGGGAGGAGGAGGAGGAGGAGGGAGGAGGAGGAGGAGGAGGAGGAGGAGGAGGAGGAGAAGGAGGAGGAGGAGGAGGAGAAGGAGAAAAGGCAGCGGAGGGGCACTCCGTTCCCCCTCCGAGATCGTTCCTCGTCCTCCCTGTCCTCCTCGTCTCTCTCTCCCTCCTCCTCTCCTCCCTCCCTCCTCCTCCTCCTCCCCTCCTGCTCCTCCTCTTCCCCCCCCTCGTTCCCCCTCCGAGCTCTCCAGGGGGTCCCACTCGTACTTGCCCCAGCCGTGGTACTCGAGCCCACGAGGCGTCGGCGAACGCGCGCCGGGGGGCCGCGCCGCGGCGCGCCACCGCGGCGAGTCCCGCGGCGAGCCCCACGGCGAGGCCGAGGCCCAGGGGCGCCGCGGAGGCCGCGCCGGCCGACCCCTCGCCAGGCGCCGCGGCGCCCGCGCCGAGCAGCGCCGGCGGCGCGGCGGGCGCGGCGGCGAGGCCTTGACGGGCGAAGGATTGCAAAAACGAAGGATTTGTTCGAAGGATTGCAAAAACGAAGGGTTTTTTGCAATCCTTCGGTTAGGGGGAAAACAAACCTACCTCGCTTTTGACCACCCTCGCTTCCAAGAGATACCAAACGATGCCAAACTACGGCCTGTACTGGTCCGGCCGCTCGACGAGGAGGCGCGTGGTATGGCTTGGTTTTGCCTGGAAGCGAGAGCGGGGTAGGTAATTCACGCTCTGAGGTATAGAAAGTAAACTTTTTCGCTGTCGGGGGCGCCTGCCCCTGGGCAGGCCGGGAAGTTTTGTACCCCTACTGTGCCACCGTAAGGGTACGAACCTTCCAGCCGCCCCGGGACAGGCGCCCCCGACGGCGAGAGAGTTGATGTTATGCCGTTCTTCGCCCGTGAAAGGCCGCGCGGAGCCACGAAGGCGGTCTGGCGGAGGAGCACGCAGGCTCCCGTGCCCGCGAGGGCGCACACCAGCGTCTTGGCGGCCCGTGCCATCGGCGCGGAAGGCTGCGGGGGCGGGGCTGCCACGGCTGCGGGTGGGCGCGCAGGCTGGAGCCAAAACGGCTGCTGGGGGGAGGGGGAGGGCGGCAGAGGGGGGAGGGGGGGGGGCAGCAGGAGGTGGAGGAGGGGGGGGGGGGCAGGATGGGGGAGGGGAGGGGGAGAGGACGAGAGGGAGGACGGGGGAGGTGGAGGAGGACGAAGAGGATCACTGACCAAACTTCGAGTTCTATGAGCGGGCGGACCGCCACTAGACAGTCCTTCGAGGTTGGAGGATCTGTCTATTGGGAAATTCCCTTTGCTTGGGGAAGGCCTCATCTCGTAGCCTGCTCATGGGAAATGATAGCCAGGACAGGCCCTGCCTATCGACACCTCCCTTCTCACAAGCTCACGAGAAGCATCCCAGAGTGGATCACAGCCCGTGAAGAGACATGAGGGGGTGTCCTGAGCGACACCATCCGTGGCCATCCTGGAGCGGTGCCTGGAGGATGATGATTGGTGAGGGCCCAACGGCCCGCCAGGCGAGCCTGATCTCACGCTCATGCGCTGTGGTAAGGGCCCCCTATTCTGCTATGTACGTCCCCTGACGTCGAGAAGCAAAGGCGAACCTGGCGCCTACCGGCGCAGGAGGCGCCCTTGCCGGGGCCGATGCCAAACACACGAGCAGTAAGGTCAGCGTTGTGAGATGACATGCTTTGGCGGCAGATGCGAGGGAGTCCCCCGATTCTGCTAGTCAACCTCTCGTCAAGAAGCAAGAACGAAACTCTCGTCGTGGTGCTGTTGATGTCCTGCATGCATCTGATTTCATAGCGCCGCCCAACGCCAGAGGCGCCCCTGTCACTGCGGACGATGGGGTGAAATAACAAAGAAGGGGGGCGAATCACCTGAATGCAACTGATCAAAATCCTGATCTTGATCCCGATAACCCTCGATGTGATCCTCACCCATACCCTAGCTGGTATTGATATCCTGGCTAGTACCCAAAATTGCTCTCTACCTGGTACACAAGCTGGGACCCACGCTGGTACCTGGGCTGGTACCCCCGCTGGCGCCTGGCACCCTGCCATGCCCGCTGGACTTCGGCACAGTGGCTGGCAACCTGTCTAAACACAATGTTCTGAGGAAGTGCATCGCGTGACGCCGCCTGGCCGGAAACCGAAACAGCTCTGGCATAACCAGAAGGGAATCGTAGACCGCGTGCAAGTGACGACTTTGTCACTGTGGCTTTTGCGCAAGTCGCGGGGCGTGGCGACAAGTGCGACACCTACGCGCGGACTGCGATGTGCTCGGCGAGCGGAAACGACATGTGCCGCCACATAGGCCGAATGAGGTGCGCAAGCCGCAAGGGCTGCATGATCAAGATGGGACATATCAGCAGCATGAGCCGCATGGGCCCTCGCTGGTGCTGGTGCTGATGCTGATGCTGCTGCTGATGATGACGATGACGATGACGATGACGATGACGATGATGATGATGCTGCTGCTGATGATGATTATGATGATGATGGCGGTGGTGATGGTGATTGTGGTGTTGACGACGGTGATGCTGATGGTGATGGTGATGATGATGATGATGATGAGGATGGTGCTGATGCTGATGCTGCTGAGTATGGTAATGATGATGAGGATAATGATGATGCTGATGATGATGATGCTGGTGATGCTGATGGTGACGATGATGTTGTTGATGATGATGATGATGATGATGATGCTGATCATGATTGTGGTGATGATGGTACTGATGATGATGATGATGATGCTGAGACCGATAATGATTTTGAGGATGCTGACGCTGATGCTGCTGATGCTGCAGATGATAATGATGATGCTGATAATGATGGTGATGATGCTGATGCTTATGCTGATGCTGCTGATGCTGATGGAGATTGTGGTGATGGTGATGATCATTATGATGTTGCTAATGCTGCTAATGATGATGATGATGATGATGATGATGATGATGATGATGATCATGATGATGATGATGATCATGATAATGACGATGGTGATGACGATGACAATGACGATGCTGATGTTGATGATGATGACGAGGATGAGGATGAGGATGAGGATGATGATGGTGCTGATGATGATGATGATGATGATGATGATGATGATGATGATGTCATGCAGCCGACCTGGATGGCATATCATACTGACACTGAGGACGATGGGGCATGCGATAACGCCTCATACAAGATGTGCCTGGGCTCTCACCGACAGCGTCGAATCGGTCAAGCCGACCCGACGGACCGCAGGTTAGCTGGGGATGCTCGACAGGGGGCCCTGACCTCGCAGCCCTGGGCACGCTTTACAAGGCACGGGGCCCCATGAATGAGGATGACGGTGCGCCAACAAGATGTGCCCCCTTGCCGACAACGTCGAATCGGACAAGCCGACCCGACGGACCGTCGGCTAGATGGGCATGCGTGGCAGGGGCCCTGAACCCGGCCACCTGACACAGAATATCACAGATGATGGATGCTGCTGTTGTTGTTGATGATGATGATAATGATGATGATGATGATGATGATGATGATGATGATGATGATGATGATGATGGTGGTGGTGGTGGTGGTGGTGGTGGTAGTGGTGATGATTTGGACATGTCGCAGACTGTTTCTTACAGGAGTCGATCAAGCCGACTCGAACGGTGGCGGTACACTTGGTAGCAGGCTGACCTCGATCTAAGCAATGTTTTCTGCTTCTGTTTTCGTGTTTTGCTTCATGCGCCCGGGTTGCGTCTTCGTTCCGCCTCTGCTGCAAAACAACATCAAAACGAAGACGGTCCACGCAATCGCCCCACTTCCAATATGTTCCCATATTATATATATATATATATATATGGTCTTGGGAGTCGACGTTTACTTGTGTCTGTGTTTGTTGATTGCTTCCTCCTGATGCTGGTGCGCAGAACGAACCTGCAAATGGCTCCCCGGCGCCCTGAGCTACGGCAGGTTCGTGTCGTGCCGACCCCAGCGTTGGTTTCTGACACCGCGCTGGATCGTTCAACCTTGAACGATCGGCCGCTGCCGCAACGTCCGATCGTTCAACATCGACCGATTCTGGGCCGCCTGCGGCGTTCCACCTTGAACGCCCGCGCTGGGGTCGCCGCTGGTCGACACGACGCAAACCTACCGTACCCCCTCCCAACCTCTGGCGTCCCGCCTCAGGAGGTCTCCAGCTGGGCTGAAGTCGGGCATGCCCCCCTGAAGGCCGACTTCAAACGAACAGTTCCAGACACTCGGAAAAAATGCCTCCAAATTGCCAAACGTTGTCAAAACGTCGCCCCAAGACTATTTTTTGACTATTTCTGAATCTTCCTCCTTCGGCTGCACGCAGGAGTGACCCTGGGCAAGAGTGACCTTGGGTGCGCGGCTTTTTGGGGGCCGCGGGGGGACCAAAAACGAGCGCGCGAGACGCAACTGCCGCATCGCGTTCGGCGATCGGGGGGCCACATTGGGCATTGGGCCCGCACCAAAGGTCACTCCGGCGAAAGGTCACTCTTACGTGTAGTCGACTCCTGTCCCAGACCCCCGACGTCGTGATTTTTTCACAACGTCGACCCCAGAGGTCTGGACCCTTTCGCCGGGACCGGTTTTGCATCCTGAGTCGTTTTTTGACGGCCCCGAGGCCCGGGGAGGGCCCCCGGAGGCCGAAAATAGCGAAAAACCTCCCGTCGTGATTTTTGCACGACGCGAGGAGGTCTGGGCCGTGAGCGTCAGAGATCTGGGGAGGTCTGGGGAGGGACAGGCCCGACTTCAACCAAAGGGCACTCTTGCCCGGGGCCGCTCTTGCGCGCAGCCGAGTGCGGCCGGAGCTCCGCCGTGCCTCCGGAGCTCCGTCCTCGGCGGGCTCTTCTCGCACGCGCCCTCTGCCCGGCTTTCAAAGTCGGGCCTGTCCCTCCAACTACTCCTCCTCCTCCTCCTCCTCCTCCTCCTCCTCCTCCTCCTCCTCCTCCTCCCACCCCAGACCTCCGCGCGTCGTGAGAAAATCACGACGGGAGGTTTTTCGCTATTTTCGGCCTCCGGGGGCCCTTACCGGGCCTCGGGAGCGTCAAAAAACGACTCGAGGCGAAAAACTGGTCCCGGGAAAGGGTCCAGACCTCTGGGGGTCGACGTTGTGAAAAATTCACAACGTCGGGGGTCTGGGTTCCTCTACAGAGGGGAAATGCAAAACAGCGAAAAAAAATAGCCTGGGGACTATGTTTGGACTATGCTTGGGCATTCGGGGGAGGGGGGACGGGCCCGACCGAACCTCTGGTGCGCGGCTTTCGGGGGCCGCGGGCCAAACGCAAGCGAGCAAGACGCTACCATCGCATCGCGTGCGGCGATCGGGAGCCCCCGGAATGCCCGCACCAAAGGTCACCGCGGATGTGCTGAGTTCCTGCGCGGCCCGCGGAGGCCTCCGCGGTCGAGGAGGAGGAGGAGGAGGAGGAGGAGGAGGAGGAGGAGGAGGAGGAGGAGGAGGAGGGGAAGGAGGAGGACTTGCGTGCGGTCGGTGCGTGCAGGGGACTGCTGCAGCCAGGGGCATCGAGGCCTGGGGCCCGAGGTTTCGGGTTGGGGCCGGGTCGGCCCACCGCCTGAGCCGCTTGCCTTCATCATCCACCACCACCATCATAAGCTGGAGGGGGGACGGAGGTGAAGGATGAGGAGGAGGAGGAAGACGAAGGAGAAGAAGAAGTAGAGGAGGAGGACCCCCTCCCCCTCCGTGAGCGTGAGCGTCAGAGAGGAGGACAACCGCCCCAGATCCCCGACGTTGTGAATTTTTCACAACGTCGACCCCCAGAGGTCTGGACCCTTTCCCGGGACCAGTGTTTCGTCTCGAGTCGTTTCGTGACGCTCCCGAGGCCCGGCGAGGGCCCCCGGAGGCCGAAAATAGCGAAAAACCTCCCGTCGTGATTTTCTCACGACGCGAGGAGGTCTGGGCCGTGAGCGTCAGAGATCTTCAGCTCCCAACGCTCTGGCGGGTCGAACTGGGCCTCTGTCGCCCCGGTCCCCGCTCCCGGGCCCTCGCGGCGGGGGCGCTCGTCGGACCCCGGCAGGTGCCCGTGAAGGCTGCCCCGTGCGTC